TTAACTAACGAACAGAGACGTAACAATACGTAACAACTAGGCTAGCAAAATAGTAAAAACTTTGGTAATAATACTAAAGAAAAAAAAAGAGTATATCATCAAACACACACATATGTATGTACACATATTTTTCACATTTCCCAAAGCCTTCAGCCAATCAGGTAAATATGTTTCCTGACTGAAACAATTGAGTGGATAAATTACCTCTGCCTGCAAAGCTGAGATGAGGAAGCAGGAAGTGTACAGTAAACATAAAATAAAGAATATAAAATGAAAAGGTTATTGTTCTACCAACACATGAGCAGCTATAAGCCAGCAAATATGGTAACAAATGACTTTTAATCAGTTGGTGTCAGATTAACCCACAAGGGAAGACAGAAAAAATAAGTGGTGTCAATTTGGAGAAAAAAAGGAGCAAGACTATATTAACTAAAGGGATGATTTTTAGTTTTCCTCTAAATATGTATCTTGTTGAGTTGTTTTGATCGGAAATAAATATTAATTACAAAATAATCTTCATTAAAACAAAATTAATAACAGGATTAAATTTTTTTTCAAACATTACAACTAACGAAATTAATTTAAATAACAATGGGAATTTGATTACTTAGGAAGTACATACAAACTAGTTTCATTTAAATATTTAGTAGTGGTTCGAATAAATTTCTGCATAACCAGTGAGAAAGCTGGTTTTTGTTAATTTAATTTAATTTAAATTTCACTACAAATCATTGGGTATCAGCAGTAAAATTGTAAGTTTAAAATGGAAATATATGAGAAGCCAAACAATGTCATGAATAGAGGTATATCAAAAAATAACAATAACATGATCAGAAAAGAAGACCTAAAATTAAACAAGACATTGGTGGACATGTCAAAAAGAAAAGAAAGACACCATAATAGAAAAAAAGAGCATAGGTTAGAAAGAGAAAGTTACAATGAGGACAGAAATGATCTAGCATTTGGAAAGAAATGAATTTAAGCATGGAAGGGCTGTCTAGGACCTCTGTCCGGATTTTAAAATATAAGTAGATTGGTTATGAATACACTGCCTAAATAACCTATCAAAGATTATATAAGTATTATACATATAACTTTCCTTTTTGCCAATTATCAAATAGAAAGGCTTTTAGATATATTTCTTAATGGTATAAATATATACTATGTTGTTGTTGTTGGGTGTATTGATATAAAATGCTGTTTGGTTTAGATATTGGTGATTATTATTGTTTAGTTTTTGTTATAATAAGAGTTAAAAGCAGACGATTGAAGTTTTGTTAATAATTCATTGACGTTGAGAATACAGAAGGCAGACAG